CTGTCTGTCTGTCTGTTTGTCTGTCTGTCTGCCTGTCTGTCTGTCTGTCTGTCTGTCTGTCTGTCTGTCTGCACCTCTCTCTCCCTCTATCTCTCTCTCTCTCCCTCTCTCTCTCTCTCTCTCTCTCTCTCTCTCTCTCTCTCTTTCTCTCTCACTCAGAAGTAAAATTAGACTTAATTCTCACCTCTTTTAACATTTGTCGTGTCAGCTGAGGAAAGAAATTATAAGAAGCCCAGGTTAGAACACAGAATCTCAACAGAACAGTTGAACTAAAAAAAGCAACTACAGACAAAAATTAAAAGCTCATTTTTTAGAATCATAAAGTGGTATTCCCCCACGCATTTTTTTTTTTTTAGCCTTTTGATTTTAATTCTAACAGATTGCCTTCCTAAATACAACAGACCAGTACCAGTTCACCCCGTTACTGAAAAAAGTTAATGTCTGTTTTAAATCATTCATAAATGCTCCTTCTTTTCAATACGAATTTTCAAGCCATTGAACCTAGACATTTTTGACAGAACCCGACAGTCTGCGTTAGTAAAATTATATTTTTTATGCCCTCAGACGGCATTCTAACATAGACTTTGTCCCTGTGTGAAATATTTTCATGAACATCATTATCAAGGTTTCCGCTATTTAAGAAACGATATTTTTCTTTTCTCATAGAACTGAGTCTGGAACGTGTCCTTAACGCTGGAGAGAATAATATTCTTCGAAACGTATGAGACTTTATTACTTAAAAAACCTACTCGTTGGGCCCTCCGTCAGCTGGTGTGGTAACACACTAGACGTGGCACCAATAACCTCGGACAAACACTCGAGTTCGGAGTGAGGAGTTTTATTGCCTGGGCTAGCGTAAAAGAATTAAGTATTTGAAGCCTCCCATTCTGGTCCTTCCAGACACGCTATTTTGAAGTACAACAATATACGTTTTTTTATTCACGAAGATTTTTCAATTCTGTTTTCTTTATCTGAAGCTATATAAAGTCCAGCAACTACATGTGTACTAAAAGTATGCAAATTCGTGTGACTGATTTGTGTAAGATGGTTCAAAATGTGCTCCGATATTGACTTTGGTCGGCTGCTGATCGGGCATATCCGTCCACTGCGTCCTTAAAGGGTTAAAGCCAATGGGTTCCTGTGGCTCTCCACACTTCATAAAAATAGCTTGCTCCGATTAAAATTAGAGGGGAAAACTGCAAGTCATTTAATCACATCGCTCTCCATACTTAATAAAAATGGCTCTCCCCGATTAAAAATTAAAAATAGAGGGCTAAACTGCAAGTCACCTTATCACCTTAATTAAACGAAATGTGTTGAAATCTTCATCACAACACCAGGTACGATACACATGACTCATACTATTAGCTTGCAGTTCAAGGTTTTAAATAGGATTTATACTAAGAGATTGCTTGATTGATAATAATGATCATTATCATCATCATCATCATCATCATCATCATCATCATCATCATCATCATCATCAT